GAGCCCCGACCCTCGGACTTCCTGCCCTGCGCATGCGTCACCGCCACCTTTCGCACTCTTGCGCCGCCGCAGCACTCCCATCCTCAATTCCCAGCTGCAACGCCACCCTCAAAGGGTAGAAATCAATGCTCCACAGTGTCTTTAAAAGCCCGTAATAATCCCACGAAAACAGATAATCCGAATACAGCTACTTCGCCTTTTAAGTGTCCGGCACGGTGACGGTGACAACGCACTGCGACAGAAATTCTTTCTCTCTCTTTCTCTCACCGTCATAGAAACCCTCTCTCTCTCTCTCTCTCTCTCTCTCTCTCTCTCCCTCCCTCTCAGCTCTGCCGCGTCCTAAGACCAGGCGCAGGCGCATAAAGGAAATCGGGCAGTACACTTTGGCAATCGGTAGAAGGGGCCGCAAGGGTTGCTGGGAGTTGTAGGACTGGGAGGCCTAGTAGCCGCAGGAACTTTGGAGTTGCCGCATGGGGTTCTAGGAGCAGTAGGCAAGACAGCCCAAAGCCTTGTGGGAGTTGTAGTCTCCGGAGCCACTTCCGTGCCAGACTTCCGCGTGTGGTGCTGTTGGGACGTCCTAGTACCGCGTTCTGTCCAGGTGAGTAGTTGCTCCTGGAGCGTGTGGGCCCATGGGCCCCCGCTCGTTATTGCGGTGCCATGTGAGGTCGAGAGCCTCGGGGAGTGGTGACACTAGCCCCTGTGATTCCCTAACGCCTGTGTCCCAGAGGCCTTCTGGCCAGGATCCCCACTCTGGGCATTGTGGTCCATCCTGTTTCTTGCCCGTCCACCCCTTCCGCCAGGTGGGGATTCCACGATCTCCCTCCCCAACCCCCATGCCATTAGGCACATCAAAGAGGCCCCTACTGTGTCCTTGAGCTTCTGTTCTGATAGAGGGTTCACACACTATCATCCTGACAAGGCTGTAATCCGGAGGCATCCCTGGGGTCCGCGTCTCTTCTGGGGGCATCTATTATTACCTCATTCTACAGTTCTTTACCGAGCGCCGACACTGTTCCAAGCCCAATGTGAGGCTGGTGGACGAGGCAGACCCAGTCCCTGACATTAGCACCCCGAAGGAGACAGGTCGGCCACCATGACGGGTAGAGCCATGGTCAGGCTGGGATGGAGGCATCGTAGCGGCCCTGTGAGCCTAGAGGGGGCGCCTGACCCAGGCTGGATTCAGTCTTCAGGGGGAAGCACTTAACAGGCATTTCAAACCTGATGTGTCCAAATGGAATTCCTGGGGACCCTCCTGACAAAATGGCCCCATCTTCCTCCCCGGTGCTCTGGCCAAAACCTCCAAGTCACTTTGCATTCACCTTTTCGCATCAGCCCCGCCTCCACCACAATCCAAGTCTTGTGCAAGTCCTATGGACTCTGCCTTCGGAACAGATCTAGAATCCCACCCTTCCCACCTCCACTGCCACCACCCCCACCCAGGCCACTTGCATCTGTCACTGGCTACTGCCATAGCCTCCTCACTGGCCTCCCTGCCTTTGCTCTTGCCCCCTAAAGGATGTTCCTCACACAGCAGTCAATGGAATGGGATCGTTTTAAAATATAAATTAGGGGCACCTGGCTGGTTCAGTCAGTTAAACATCTGACTCTTGATTTCGATTTCCGCTCGGGTCCTGATCTCAGGGTTGATTAGGGATGTCGAGCCCTGTGTTGGGCTCCACGCTGGGCATGGTGCCTGCTTGGGATTCTCTCTCCCTCTCCATTTGTCCCTCCCCTTCTCTCTCTCTCTCTCTCTCTCTCTCTCTCTCAAAAACAAAACCCATGTCAGTTCATATCCCTTTCCTGCTCAGAATCCTCCTGTGGCTCATATCTCCCTATGAATAAAATTCAAACTCCATATCATGGCCTATGAGCCTCTGACAATCTGCACAGACTCAACACCTGCCAGGGTCTTCCTCCTTCAGGAGGCAGACCTCCAAAACTGGGTGACTGCAGATTTAGGGCAAGAGGAGGGATGAGTCCAAGGCGACTTTATGTCCTGTCCTGTGAAGGGGCTAGGTGGAAGGTGGTGATGCTCTCAGGAGACAGGAAACAGCTGGGCTGGAGCAGGTTTCTGCCTCGTGGAATGGAGCCTGGCTAGTGTGGGCACTTGGGATCTGGGAGAAGGCCTAGCCAGAATCCTCAGTGGGGCATCTGGAGGACCAGCTGGATGGACATCACAATTCAGAGTCACCTACAAGGAGAATGGGCTGGGTGGGACCTGAGGACCATGACGAGGACTCTCCAAAAGAGACTGAGATTCAGCAGAAGAGAAACCAGGGCAGCAGAGAGAGGATCAAGTCAAAAGTCAAAGGAGAAAAAAGTTTCAAAGGGCTGTTGCTCAGCGCTGACAGATGCACCTGATGGTCACCACTGATGGCTCCTAAGCGTTACTTGCTGGCCCCGTGAGGAAAGGAAAGAGCTGGTGCAAACACCTTCCAGTAGGTGCATCATGGAGTGTTTGAGAGTAGAGACCAGCATGACTGAGGACAGTGGGACATGAGGTCAGAGAAAAAGGGAGCCAGATCACAGAGAGCCTCGGAGCCACTGGCTTTTCCTAAAGTGAGAAGGGTTGCATGGGACGATGTATAGTGGGCAGGGTCCGCTGGCTGTTCTGTGGAGAGGAGAGGAGGGTGGGCAGGGTGGAGGCAGGGACTCTGGTGAGGAGCCTCCTGCAGTATTGCTCACACGAGGGTGGCAGCCGTGGAGATGGGGAGACGCATCGCCTCCTGGGTTAAAGCTGCCGTCAAGCAGGATTTGCTGTATGCCATTTGGGCATTTGGGGTTTGAGGTCTGAGGATGTGGAGAAATGGTCAGGACTTGACGTTGCAATTCGGAGTCACCGGCGGGGAGAGGAAGAAGAGTGGCGAGAGCAGGTCAGCGTCCCGGAGCCCAAGGCATCTTGCCTGGGCAGCTGAAAGGATGGAATGCTCTTTACTGCAGGAGAAGCAGGCGTGGGAAGAAGAATTGGGAAACTGGGTTTTGAGGTGCCTGTTCGACATCTTGAGTGGCACTGGTCCCTTGGCTCAGAAAGTCACAGACAGTAAACAATAGGTCACATGAGGTCATTCCACATATGGTGGCAAATCCTAGAAGCAGATAACCTGCGGGGAGTCTCCTGCACTAGGCCAGACTGGAGGCGATGGTAGCTTGGGGAGGGGATACTGGGTTTACCAGGCTGGTGGGACCAAGGAGGTTGTAGCTGGAGGATTGGTTTTGGCTGGGGATGGAGGAGGTTGGAGGAGAGGGACGGAAAGGGGTCAGGGATGGGCTTATCCATGTTTTGATACATCCGTAGAAGCTTGTGGGAGATTCTGACACCAGAGCAGAGTTGAGCCCAGCCCTGGAGGCCCAAACACCCCACCTCGAAAACAAAAGCAACCCCAGATAGTCTCCTTGGAGATGTGATCCAGCAGCCTCCCCGGAGGCATCGACCCCGCAATCCGGAATCCGCACGTAACCTGCCTCCCCTCTCTCCCTGTCCAGGGGCAGCCAACTCCTCCCCGCCCGCCCGCCCGGAACCCGCGATGCCCGCCCCGCAGTGCGCCTCCTGCCACGCGGCGCGCGCCGCCCTCCGCCGCCCGCGCTCCGGCCAAGCGCTGTGCGGCGCCTGCTTCTGCGCCGCCTTCGAGGCCGAGGTGCTGCACACGGTGCTGGCGGGCCGCCTGCTGCCGCCCGGCGCCGTGGTGGCCGTGGGCGCCTCCGGCGGCAAGGACTCCACGGTGCTGGCGCACGTGCTGCGCGAGCTGGCGCCGCGCCTGGGCGTCTCGCTGCGCCTGGTGGCCGTGGACGAGGGCATCGGCGGCTACCGGGACGCGGCGCTGGCGGCCGTGCGGCGCCAGGCGGCGCGCTGGGACCTCCCGCTCACCGTCGTGGCCTACGCCGACCTCTTCGGGGGCTGGACGATGGACGCCGTGGCCCGCAGCACGGCCGGCTCCGGCCGCAGCCGCGCCTGCTGCACCTTCTGCGGGGTCCTGCGGCGCCGCGCGCTGGAGGAAGGGGCGCGCCTCGTGGGAGCCACGCACATCGTGACGGGTGAGCGCGGGCGCCGCAGCCGAGGGGCGCGGGGCGGGCGCTGCAAGGGGGCTGGGCGCGTGCCCAGCAAGGGGTGAAGGAGACGCCGGGGGTGCCCCAAGTGGGGGATCTCCACGAGAAGGGGGTGCGCACGCCCGCTGAAGGTGCGTGGGCAGAGTGTGCGCGCGCCGGGGCTGGGCGCGGCAAGCTTTGAGTCACTGCCTTCGCTTTGGCCGTGGAGGGGTGCAGGGGTGCCCTCCGGGGGCTGGGGCTGTGTTCCCTGCAGTTTTCAAAATGACATTCTCTGTGTCCCTTCACAAAAGGAGGCGAGTGAAGTGACACCACCCATCAGAAGCCATCTGTAGTCTGAAACGCAACTCTTTAGACCCCCCCCTCCTCTGTCGGCCTCTTCTCTCTGAGAACTTGAGAACTTACTCTCTCCCAACCGTTGCTTCAACACGTGATTGTTGACCATCTCCTCTGTACCAGACGCTTTGTAGCCTCGAGCAACACCTAACCTCGGTTACCTCATCTGTAAAACGGGGTTATTAATAATATCGAGGTCCCAGGGCCGTTGGGAATAAAGTGAGTTCTGTGTGAGGCACTTAGACCAGAGACTGGCCAACAGCAGGCCTCACAGAGATGTTTGCGTCCTGATGCTGCCCAAGACAGCCTCTGCCCCCGCCCTCCCGTCATGTCCATAATTATAACCCGGTAAGTGCTGCTAAGGAAAAATCACACAGACTTTGCCAGTTTACAACAGGAGGACCCAGTGAAGGGGGAAGCCTGGAGTTAGGAAATGGTTCCTGAGTGAGCCCGACCTGAAGGCCACCTGAGTAACCAGTGAAGGGGAGACCCAGTTGTTGGGGTCTGAGCAGAGGAGGTGGCTGGTGCAAAGGCCCTGAGCAGGGGAAGTGTGGCCAACTGGAGAAGCGCCAAGAAGACCAGTGTCTGTCGGACCAGACAGACTCAAGCATAAGACGACAAGGTGCAGAATAGGTAGACGTTTAGGTGACGTTTAGGTGACGTTTACGGTGACTGTTGAGGAAATACTGAAGCTCTCGCTGGCCTTCCTGCACGCGGTGACCCGCATTCCCCGGCACTGGGACAGCAGCCTACTTGACAACCTCCACTGACCGTTAGAGGCCGCTTTGACTTCGGTGCCGTGTGAGGAACACCTTCAACCGAGACTGAAAAGATATTTGTAGCATAAAGCACTTCTACTACCCTCCTGAAAAAGCAGCTGGCACAGGGCCTGGTTGGCGATAAGTGGGTGGCAAATGAGGGCACCCCGGGTTGCCTCCTGGAGGCCTGTGTGTCCCCTCTCGTTTCTCACTGTGCCCACCGCCCACCTCCACCAGGCTGTCGCGCGGTGCCCAGGGGTCTCCCTGGCCCTGTCCGGCCCTCCCTGCTGTTCTGCCCCCCCCCCCCCCCCATCTCTCTCCTGGTCCTGGCGTCCTGCAGTGTCTGGGGGTGGGGTGGGGGTCTCCAGCCCGGGTCGCCCACTCTGTGCCGCTCTCCAGGGCCCCTCCCCGTCCGTCTGGGTCCCTGCTGCCCCACGGCGGCGCCCCCATCTCACCGGCTCCCCGTCTCTCTCCCCCAGGCCACAACGCCGACGACATGGCGGAGACCGTGCTCATGAACTTCCTGCGGGGCGACGCGGGGCGGCTGGCCCGGGGCGGGGGCCTGGGCTCGCGGGGCGAGGGGGGCGCGCTGCCGCGCTGCCGCCCCCTGCAGCTGGCCTCGCAGAAGGAGGTGGTGCTGTACGCGCACTTCCGCCGCCTCGACTACTTCTCGGAGGAGTGCGTCTACGCGCCCGAGGCCTTCCGCGGCCACGCGCGCCACCTGCTCAAGCTGCTGGAGGCGGCGCGGCCGTCGGCGGCGCTGGACCTGGTGCACTCGGCCGAGCGCCTGGCCTTGGCCCCGGCCGCGCGGCCCCCGCCCCCC